GAACCACAGGTTGAGAACCGCTGTTAGAGCTGCTAGCAAATAAAATATTTCACTGGCGCCCTAGCTGGTTTGGCTCAGTGGATAGAGCGTCTGACGCCTGTGGACTGAAGGGTCCCAGGTTCGATTCCGGTCAAGGGCACATGCCTGGGTTGCGGGCTCGATCCCCATTAGGGGACGTGCAGGAGGCAGCCAATCAATGATTCTCTCTCATCATTGATGTTTCTATCTCTCTTTCTCCCTTCCTCTCTGAAATCAATAAAGATGTATTTAAAAAAAAATTTTTTAAAAATATTTCACTGGCAACAGCACTGTCGGTTTTCCATAGGGTATCAAACAATGCATAAAGTGATCCCTGAAGTTCCTTCTACTTTAAACATTTTTTACTTTACAGTAAAACACAACTTTCCCCAAATAAAAAACTTTTAGTCAATAACTCTATGCCAAACAAAGTGTGAGGTTTAAGTAACAGAATATACAGCAAGTCCTTGAATAAGATCGTTTCATTATAACATTGATGAGATGCCAGGATACTGTAGGAACTTAACTCTTGTTTATATCAATTAGCCTACAGTAATATTGGTTTTGTTATGCACCGTTTCACTTAAAGTTTCACAACCTATTGAAGATGTTATGTGAGGACTTACTGTACAAATGCTGCTTTCTAAGTTGTGACATATTACTACAGTAATATGATGTTGACAATAAGGGAAAGGGTGAGCAGTATGGGAGAACTCTCTGTATGTAATATCTGTGTAACTTTTCTGAAAATCTAAAACTATTATAAAATAAAAAATATTTTTAAAAATCTATGTCCATTTTGAATAATACAGAAAATTTCTACTGAACAAGTAACTCCAAGTTAATATTGGATGAATAGTCTGCTTTGCTTACTGGGGTATAATGTTAAAATATTAACACTTTAACATTTCAAAATGGTATGCTTGAGCTCTTAAAATTATCTTAGTCCCACAAAAATTGGAGTTTCCTCAAATCATTCTACTGTATTTATATTCATATTATCATATCTCTAACCATCCACCTTAAAACCATGACTGAATTCCTTGAACCAATGCTGGACTTCACACGGTTTACTGTAGGTCCCTATTCCCTATAATGTTTTGTGATTGGTTGTTTTATTTATTATCATTATTATTTTTAAAAATAAAGAAAATACTGAATCTCGGGGAAGGAGTTGGGATGGGAGTCAGACACGGGGAAAATATATTTTTTTTAAGTTTTCATCTCCTCCTCACTGATGAGATGACGACAGTGGGGGTAGTAGTGCCTACCTAGCATTTCAAAACTTTTACGTATAGACAGGAAAGGGCTAAGGATCAGAAGGAATGTTACTACTTCTAGGTCTCCCACTGTCAAATCACCATAAACACAGAGATGCCCCTGTGAAGGTGAGGCAAGCCCCCAAGAAGGAAAGAACTACAATTCACCTCATCTGGAAGGGAGAGGAAGCAGGAGATCATGACAGTGGTCCCATCCTGAACCAAATTCCTTTCTCTCCCAGAAGATTTCTGCCCCAGTCAATGAACCTCCTGCCAATGATGTATCTAACGGAACATAACTTTACAGTAATAGATATACTGCTGTAAAATGTTCCCCTTAACTAAGGTAAAACAAACCTGAGCTATTCTTTAGAAGTATTTCTGTTACAGGAAAGAGAGGAAGCAGGAAGAAGGAAAAGATGGAAGATAATCAGGTGGGAGAGAAAAGAGCCCCAGGTGAATAGCAGTTGTGATGGAATGTAAACCTAAACTGAAAACTAGGAATCCTGGTTTCCTGGTTTATAATCCCAGATCTGCCATTAGCTGAGTAAACTACCTTATTTAGACAGTGAGCTTCCTCATCAAAAAATGAAGTAGGGGTAAGGCTGCACCCAAGAATGAGAATACATCCTAGAACAAGATGTCCCCAAAGGAGGCCCTGGCTCAGAGCTTCAGAGTTGAGAATAACACCTGTGCACAGGAAGAAAAAAGCCCCTTAGGCTGCAGGAGCAAGGAAAATTTCTGATTATTCTGCCTGGGGATGCAAGACTGTTCAAAATTACTAGGTACAAATTATTACCTATAGAACAGTAGAGGGAGAGTCCATGCAAGTTGCCAAGTCAACACAATCTGAGTGGGGTTCTTTATACCAGGCTAGGTATTATAGCTTCAGAGATGAATGTAATAGTCTCTGCCTTTAATGTGTTCAGAATCCAGTTAAGATTTTGGTCAAACGCTAGGAGAAAAACTGTGCCTGTCTGACTCTCTCCTTTCCCATCAATGTTATATAAAGGAAGTAATGACACCTAGAATCTTTTTTTTTTAAATTTCTTTATTGGTTAAGGTATTACAAATGTGTCCTCATCCCCCCATTAACCCCCAACCTCCCCACCCCCCACTCATGTTCTCATCCCCCTGTTGTCCATGTCCATTGGTTTGGCTTATATGCATGCATACAAGTCCTTTGGTTGGACACCTAGAATCTTCACAGATTGCAATTAAGAAAAATGAGGCTTAAAGAAATTAACTTTAGGGTACTAAGTTCTAACTTAGAACCCAGTGGTCTGATACACATCCGTGTGGCCACATGAATGTCAACTAGCTACATTAACTAAAATCCTATTAACCTAGAGGATAAAGAAAATTTTTAAAATTATAACAAAATTCCTGCCTACAGTTAACAATATGAAAGCCTCTTACAATAGATGTGCCTTATTATTCATTAATTGCAATGCATAATCCCCACTAGCCTGTACTCCACCTCCAAGTTAAAGATCATAACCATTGTCCAAACCATCGCTATTCCCAATGGGTGGTGTAGAGCAAGTACTCTGGGTACAATGGTTGAATTAGTGGTCCCCAAAGCCCCTCCCAGGTCTAACATTACCTGACACCTGACATCAAAACATGACCAATAAGCACATAAAGGCCACACAAGGTCACAAATATATACACTTAACTCATCTAGAGAGCTTTTAAAATACTGCCACTACCAGCTTCAAGTATATTTTTGCAACTACAGGCACAAATGCAGATCTTACTACTCTATATGTTTTGTCCTATGAGTAACACAAAATTAGGATTTCCCAATCTTGATTTAAACAATTTTAACTTACTTGCAAATTTATACAAGCTGGGAAAGTAAGGGATAATAAAATAGAAAAAAGAATAAGATACATTAATTACAATCAGAAAATTGTGACTGTGTCTACAATGCACACCAATTGTATAATCCTCTAAAACTTGAGCTGTAGAATTTGTTTATTTCTGCTGTTTGTGAAGATCCCTGAAAAAGGAACAAAAACACAGGAGAGAGAACTCTGAAAGAGGGGGTTTTACAAATTGGGAATACTTTCCCATTTGCTTATAGATAAAAAAAAAAAAAAAAAAAGCGGGTCAAAATCTGACTCAAGGGAGATTGCTTTTGCTCTTCACTGATGTGCATTAAGATGAGTACTTTTTGACTATTAACTTACCCCTGGCAAACCAACAAGGAAGGCCCCATTCTGAAATCTGGAGTGTCCAGGACCATAATTTAATTTCAAGAAAAGCAGGTCAAATGATATAAATAATACCGTAAAAACGTAAAATGAAGTTGCTGGAAAAAAGTGGAGGGCTATCTGACAGAGTAGGAAAGAGGGATTTTCTAGCTTAAACTGACATCGTAATTTGGCTTTAAATTCTAAACACCAAACTACATTTGAATAAAGGCAACTGGGGGAGAAACGGTTAAGCGCTGTGAAATACAACCTCTTCTAATTTCAAGAATTCCCAAACTATTTGAATGGATTTGATTCCACGCAGACAGCTTTGCAAAATGATTTCCCTTTCTCTATCACAATCACAACCCTACACACACTGCCCCCCTTCCCCCACGTCCTTGTAGTACAATAAAAAAAAAAAAATTGGGGACGGAGTAGGCTGTCTGCTTTCTCAGAAGAGGCGAAGCTGTAGGTTGGGCACTACCAGGCTGGCGGGTCCCGAATAACAAAACCAGGGATGAAAGGCAGGTGTCGAGAGCCTCCAGGCCACAGGGGAACAGAAAGGCGCGCTCCCCAGAGCTCACGGGCGCAGACAGCACCACGCAGACCCAGTTCCTCTCCCCCCGGCGACAAATCAAAGCCAAGTCCGGGCGTCAGCGAGAGCCCGCGCCGCCCGGCCCCCGCCCGCCCCGAGCCCCGCGCGGCCAGAGCTGTACCTGGCGAACAAGTCAGCGAAGTCGCTTGTCCGTACAGCCCGGGTCGAGGCCCTCGCGGGGCCCCTGCTCCTCGGCGGACGAAGAACCAGGAGGCCCCGCCGCTAGCAGGTGGTCCCAGCCACCCTTGCTGACCGGTCGCCTTGACAGAGTCCCAATAGTATACTTTTAATGTCCCCCTGAAGCATACATGAAGAACACACCTGGGACTTCAACTATCCACTATTTTTCAGGGAGATCAGCGTTGTTCCAGGCTATGGGCAGCTCCACACGTTGCTATTCACTCTGAGCAAGGAATGACACACTAAGGGGAGAGTATGAGCCGAGAGCCTCCGATATGCCAACCCCGAAGTTGTCCTACCCAAGAAAAATTTACTTTCAAACAACATGCGATAATCGTCCTATGTTTTAATAGGAACTGCAGTAGTTCTCACCATTTCCTCTACTGGGCGGAATATCTTCTCCCTAAAATGGTTAGCCAATCCTTCCGTGTTTGAGACTTCTTACTACTTATGCATGAATGAAACCACATAACAAGTTTTGGTTAGTGGGCCTGACCGTAGCTATGGTGGACCCACCTTGGGAGATGCATGACCTTTACTACTCTCACGAATGACCCTATGAATTGGGCTATCTACGTAGTCTATGCCTTCGGTTGGGCCCCTGGTTTGGGGGCTTTCTACCCTAAAAAAAAAGACA